CATTAATGCAAATCAAGAATACAATTAGGCACCTTGTGCAAATTGATGCAAATGAGGGCAACAGAATCCCTCCAGGTCTAGACCTTGCTGTCCAATAACAGCCTCCCTCCCCCACTCCCCGGCCACATGTGACAATTTAGAACTTGAAATGTGGCCAGTCCACATTGAGATGTTCTGCCACTGGAAACACACACATTAGATTTTGAAGACAGTATGAAAAGAAAAAAGAATGTAAATATCACTAATTATTTTATTATGACATGTTGAAATTAGTATATCAGTGTGTTGTGTTAGTCGCTTGGTCAGGCCAACTCTTTGTGACCCCTTGGACTGTAGCCTGCCAAGCTCCCCTGTCCATGGAATTCTCCAGGCAGGAATACTAGAGTGGGTTGCCATTCCCTTCTCCAGGGGATCTTCCTGACCAAGGCACCAAACCCAGGTCTCCCGCACTGTAGGCAGATTCTTTACCATCTGAGCCACCAAGGAAGCCTGATGTGTTGGGGCTATCAAGCTAAATAAAATGTTTCACTGTTTCTTTTTACTTTTTTAAAATGTGGTTACTAGAAAATGCTAAATTCTATCTATGGCTCACATCATATTTTTATTGAAAAACAGACCTAAACCAAGCCCCCTGATTTTATGCATCAAAAAACTTGAGTCCCTGGGCAGGGAGGTGACACAGGGTCTTGACTCACTTTGCATTTCTGCTCAGCCACCAACCCCCATAGCCCCTCACCCTGATTCCAGAGAGCCGCTTCTCCCCCACCGCCCCAGAACCAAGCCTCTAGCTCTGACTCACCTAGCCGGAGCCGGCAGAGGGGGTCAGGGACCCTGAGTGGGTGAGTGCCCCGGCGCGTGAACTCTCTGCCAGCCAGGTCTTCCTGGGCCTGCAGGAGGTAGATGGCCAGGGAGGAGCTGCTGCTGCCCAGAGGCTGTTCTTGCTCATCAAGCCAGCTCAGCACGGCAGGGGGCTCACCTCCCGGCCACTCACAGCTCAGCGTGATGAACTGGTCTCTGACACTGGCCAAGGTCCAGCAAGTGGGGCTCCACAGCGGTTCCCCTGGGTAGGGAATCACAGCTCAGCACGGTGCTACAGGAGGAGGAAGGGCTGGCAGGCCTACCCATCCCTTCACTCTTCATTAATTGCTTCACTCACTCATGCCTCCGCGTACACAGTCACTCATTCATTCATTCATTTGACATTTATTGAGGGCTGACCATGTGCCTGGGAAATAGTGGGAACAGAGTGCAATATAATCTGATGTGTGCTAGAGCATAGGTAGAAAGACAAAGTCTCTGGGCCTTCAGGGAGGAGGACTGAAGACAGGATGACATATGAACTTGGCCTTGGTAGATGGGCAGGAGTTTCCAAGGTAGAAAGAAAACTAAAGGCAAGTCTCAAGGCCAACATGCAATAATTGTTCACTGTTTAGTCACTAAGTCGTGTCCAACTCTTCAAGACCCTATGGATAATGCAAGTGTGCAAGAATCAGTTCAGTGCAGTTCAGTCACTCAGTCGTGTCCAACTCATTGCGACCCCATGAATCGCAACACGCCAGGCCTCCCTGTCTATCACCAACTCCCAGAGTTGTCCATCGAGTCGCAAGAATAGACCAGTAAAAATAAGGTCCTCCCTGGGGGCTGGGAGATGGTAAGGAGCGCGTCACGGGGCTCTAAGCCAGACTTAAGCCACCATGGGGGTGGAGACTGGGACTGGAGAGGAGAGAAAAGCTGGAGGTGGGGACTGAGCCATGCCGCCACCTCCCCATTAAGCGGCAGGTCTGGGAGATGGTGGCCTGCAGCCCCTTCTCTGATCCCATGGCCCAAATGGTCTGGCCTCTGCCTTCCTGCCCACTCCTCTGCCTGGACTGGCATACCCTGCCATCCACCATGCCCACTCAAACAGCGTGATCCTGCAGAGCACGGGCAGAGCCAGAGCTGGATGCCTGCCGGTGAAGGCTGCTGTTGGGAAGCTGGGTGGCTGCATAACTCCAGGTGACATTGCTGAGCGCAGTGGGGCCAGCTCCCTGGGGTCCGGCCCACTGCAGTTGGGCAGCTGGAAGCCCCCCAGGCCAGGGGCAGACCAGACTCAGTGCCCCGGGGGCTGGGAGAACAGCACAGGAGGGCTGCGCCTTGGGGGGATCTGGGTGAGAAGCGTGTGAGGGCAGGGCTGGAGCAGCCCCATGGCAGTGCACCACAACCCCCCCCACCCCGTCACTCCCCACCGACCTGGGAGCCTGGAGGCCTGAGGTGTCAAGGGTGGAGGAAGTAGGGAGAAGTTGGTGAGCCGGGAAAGAGTGATCTGTCTGAGGGGCGAATAAGGGAAAGGCAGAGTTCTCAGGCCAAGGGCAGAGGCTGGGAGAGGGGTGGGTATTCAGAGTCCTTGAGGAATCCCGGAGCCCCCTAGGCCCCCACCTGGGAAGTCTGCCTTTCTCTGCTCTGTCTTGCTGTCTTTACCCTTCTCTGTGCCTCAGTTCAGTCCCCAGGGCGAAAGAACAATCCCTGGGGAGGGGGCTATATATGGGCATCCCCTCTTCCCGCCCCTTCCCACTTTGGAGGGCTTTTATAGACCCCTCTCTGACCACCTAGCAACTCCATCTGGTTTCCCGAGTCCCCCTCCCAATCCACGTCTGCACCAGGGCCCCTGGACTCTGCCAGAGCACAGGTCGGGGGGCCGCCTGTTGCAAGGGGCCCCTGCCCACACACTCACAGTGGATGCTGAGCTGGACGCTGGTCTGCGTGTGGGTGTCCAGGCGGCTGCTGTGGGCCAGGCAGGTGTACCGGCCTGTGTGGGCCCAGCATGCACCTGAGTGTGGTCATGGAGCCACACATAGAGGCCGGGGGGTTGGATGCAGCCAGGCAGCTCGGGGTCACCTCTTCCCTCTCACTGGCCCCAATCCCCTCCTCAGTGAAGCCCAGTGGCTCCACGGTGATCACAGGATTGTCTGCACTGTCTGGAGGGCAAGGAAAGCTTGTCACACTTCCCAGCCTTCATTCCTTCAGTCACTCGTCTAGTCGTCGCTGAATTCGCTGCCTACGCAGTGGGCATCTGTGATGTACCAGCTGGGTCGACTACTGTGCTAGGCCCGCAGGAACTCACGGAGCAGGGGCCTGCGGCATAGGGGCCCAGGGCTGGTGGAGGTGAGCACCCTGGGCTGGGGGAGCTCAGAGGGGCGGCCCTGACTGTGGTGTGGCTTCCCCGAGGGACTGGTGGTTGAATTGGGGTGGGGGAATGGGCAAGACCCAGCTGGGCAGAGAAGAGGCACGGCGCCCAGTCCTTTCCATCTGCCCGGGATTGAGGGGTTTCTTGGAACTGGGGCAGTTGATCCTTTTAGACTGGAAAGGGATGAAAACAGGGTGAGAAGATGCCCTGAGCATGACCCTAGCAGCCAGCCCTCCTCACTTCCCCTGTCTCTTGGGTCCTCTCTCTCCCTGATTCCCAGAAAGGACTGAATTCTCTGCCTGTTTCATTCTGCTCCTAATTCTTTCCCAAGAACTTCTCACTTGTCTCCCCCGTGCTCTTCTGCTGACAATTTCCACAGGCCACCATCATTAGTGGACATCCTTAGGCAGAGTCCTAACATCTTAAACATGCTAGGCCAGCACTGTCCAATAGGTATATGTGTTAAATTTTCCAAATCTTAGAAAGGAAAAATAACCAAACCCAACCAAGTGAAAAAAAACACCAATTTTAATAATATTTTGTTGAACCACATACACGCAGAATATTATAGTTTTAATGCACCACCAACATAAAAAATATTGGGACTTCCCTGGCCGTCCAGTGGTTAAGACTCTGTGCATCCACTGCAGGGGGGATGGATTTGATCCCTGATTGGGGAACTAAGATCCTGCATGTCACGTGGCATGGCCAAAATTTTTAAAAAACATATCAATAAATAATGTACAATTATTCAAAAATCATTTTTAAAAAGTATTGATGAATATATAAATATATGTATATATAAATATATATATGGATGTGTGTGTGTGTTAGTCACTCAGTCGTGTCTGACTCTTTGCAACCCTATGGATTGTAGACCGCTAGGCTCCTCTCTCCATGGGATTTCTCAGGCAAGAATGCTGGAGTGGGTTGCCATTCCCTTCTCCAGGGATCAAACCCAGGTCTCCTGCATTGCAGGCAGATTTTTTACTGTCTGAACCACTGGGGAAGCCCATATATATGCAAAGATATACATACTTATTTTTAGATTAAATCTTCAAAGTCTAGTGTGCATTTTACACTCAGAGCACATCTCAGGTTCAGCCACATCCCAAGAGATCAAAGTCACACAGTGGCTACCCTATTAGACAGTATAGTGCTAACTATCCTAGTCATCACCTTTCACACAAACCACTGATTTCATTTTTAAATTTAAAAAAATCTTTTGAAAAAAATTTTTAGAAGTTAATTAGCTACATGTGTTCTCTTTACTGAAATAACTATTTTTGTCTTCGGTTCACTTATGTACCGATTGCTTCTTCTTTCCTCACTTGTTTTGGAGATCTTTCTAATCCTTTGTTTGCTATGTGTGCTTTCAAGACAAGTTTTTAATTTCTAATTGCAACCTCTCAGCCTCAGACTTAGGATCAAATTGCCACCCTCTTTCTTCACTGAAATTCCCTCCCAGTTTCTTCAGAGTTCAGTTGGTCAAAAGCAGAATTTCTGAGCCACTCCTGAAATTAGGGTAAACTGACTATGAAAATATGCACATTTTCCTGGGAAGAGGGACCCTCGACCTTGAAAAGGTGAAAATGCCTTGTACTAGAGCCATCTTTGACACCAGAGGGTACAATGTCTTGACTCCCACCTACTGGATCCTCTTGGAGGGCTAGGGTACTCCTGGGGGTCCCGAGATGTGTCAGGAGGCCAAGCCCAGGTGGGTAGGTAGGTGCCAGCCCTGACCCCTTCCCCTCGGCCATTGTGACTCACAGATGACATCCAGGAAGGCTCTGTCGCTGCTCAGCTGGTTGACGCCATTGTGGGCAGTACACGTTTACTAGCCCAGGTGTGTCCAGTTGACGGGGTCCAGCTGGATCAGATGCTTCGTGACCCCCACGAGAGCCTCTAGAGAGCCTCGGGGTGTCTGATGCTGCCGGGCAAAGGTCACAGGCTCCGTGCCCTCCCGTACTGCATGCGTGGCCACCAAGGAGGCCCCCTCCACTGGGGACGGGTCGCTCAGCCGCACCTGAGGCTTCGATACGGGCAATGGCCAGAGGCAGGAGAGGCCCTGTGTTTGTTATTGCAGACCCAGGCCGTGCCCAGCCATGCCCAGTGGCCTAGCACTTGCTGGCAGGCCCCTGAGCATCCCTTCCCACGATCCCAGGTGTCCCTGCTCCCAGAAGGAGGGCCCCATAGAACCCGAGCCCAGCAGAACACAATGGGCAGCACATGCAAATAGACTCCAAGCAGCACGCACAGCAGCTCAAGCCCTCTGGGGTGCCCGGCCAGAGCGAGGGAGGAGTCGGTGGCGTGGAGCTGGCTGCTGGCCGCATGTAGGGCCTGGCACGGGAAGTGGCCGCGGGCCCCCTCCTGCAGCTCCCACGGCACCAGGCTGCTGTCTCACAGACTCACGGCCCCCAGAGCTGCGGCGCTGGCCTCCACCTTGAACTCCCCTCCACTGGCGACGGCCGCGGGCTGGGGAATCATCAAGACCAGGGGAGTGAAGCTCCAGAAGGCCCCCAGGGGGGCAGGCTGGGCGCCACAGGCTGGCTCCGCTGAGCTGCCTCGCGCTCCCTGGATGGAGGAGGTCTCCTTGGGGGCTCCTCGGGTCGGATGGAGCTGCCCTGGAGACAGAGGCAACGCAGACTGTCGGGGCCAGTCTGAGGTCTCCTGCTCCCCTTCCTCGCCCAGAATCTCTGTTATCGGTGGTCTGCAGGGCAGGCCGGCTGGGCAGGGTTTGATAAGGCAGCATAAGCCCTTCTGGACTTGGAGGACAAGAGACGGTTTCTGAGGGGCCCACAGAGCTTCCTGTCTGGCTGTGCTATACGAGTGGGTGGGGTTAGGGGATTTCTTGAAATCAGGGAATGGATTGGAGCAGAGGTTCCCATTAGGCCTTTCGGAAAGCTTGATAAAAATATAGATTCCTGGGCCTCATCTCGGAAGACTGTCAGAATCCTGGAGTGGGGAGAGGGGTGTCAGGGCCCAGGAATCTGTATTTTGACAACCATCTGGAAGTCAGTCTGATGACCGGCCAGACAATGATCCCCGAGGATCAGGAGGTGTAAGTGGCCACTGGTGATGCAGGCTCTGGAGATGTCTTCATAAGGACTCCAGGGGATTCCAGACCCACTGCAGCAAAGGGAAGATGATCCCAGCCTGCTGTCAGCCCACCCAGCACCCATTCATTCATCAGCTATTAATCTGGAGCGCCTGCGCTGGGCCAGGCATGGGCTACCATGACAAACGAGCCCTCCATCTCTTCCCTCATGGAGCTTCCAGTCCACCAGGCAGTAGACAGCAGTGATGGGTAAGGCAGACCCAGCAGGCAAACTCACACCTGCCTGGGCACCCTGTTCTTCTGTCCCTGTGGTCAGCATGCTGCAAGGAGCCTCAGCAAACTTAGGAAAGATAAGTGCCTCGGAGGATGACTGAGCCCCAGGGCTCCCTCACACAAGCTTCTGCTGACTGAATGCCCCCCATACCGTGCCTGCCCTGAACTCTTCCCCTGCTGATCACCTACTGATCTTCACCATAACAACCACGGCATACCCTCCCCAGACTCAGAAACATGAAATCACTTCGTCTAAAACCACACGGTACGTGGAGGAGCTGGGGTTGGAGCCCTGCCTAATCCCTGACCTCAGAGTCTCCCCGCTGCTGTCAGCTTCCCCAGAGAGAGAAGAGGAGGAGACAGGCGTGGAGTTGGAGAGACGGGATCAGAGTCAAGATTCTGACGTTCAGCTGGTCAAGGAGAAAGGCCTTTAATCCTGAAACTGGTTTTTTCCAACCCCGTGGACGTTATTTTGGATGCTAAGAGCATCCCCCACCTGGACTATTGCAAAGATCTCCCCACTGCCTCCAGCTCCCTGAAAACTGCCAGCTTTGGAGGGGACGTCCTGAAACCCAGGTCTGACCACGTCACATCATGCTTACACCCCGACAGTGGCCCTCAGCACAAGCTCTTGTGGCTTTTCAAGGTTCAGAAGAGCAGAGCACTCTTGGTGCTCCGCTCCTGCCTCCCCGACCTGGCACAAGAGGTCACTCAGTGCACACTGGCTGATATCGGGCTGGTGGGTGAAGTCAATGGACTTCACTGAAAGGCTACTCAAGACCAAAAGAGGATCCTGAGGAAGAAAGGGGAAGAAGTAATGGGATGTGAGTAGGGGTGGGCTCCAGTGGAGGGCGGGCTGCGCGTCACTCACCCGAGGCCCCTGGATGCAGAAGGCAGAGGGCTGCCAGCAGCAGGAGGCCGAGTGGGCTGTGCAGGGGCCCCTGACCCACCATGGCCCCATCTCCCTGCGTGGACGCCCCGCAGAGGTTCCTGCCCACCTCTCAGCCTCACTCTCTCCAGAGCAAAGCCCAGCCCTGGAAGGATGGGAGGCAGTTGGCTCAGGTTGCCAGTGGGGGCCTTCCTGACACATCCACCCCAGATCTCCCATTACCTTCACCATCCTGAGTACAGGTGAATTATTTACCAGGTGATTCACTCCATCCATAGTGCAGAGTTGGGGAGGGCGAGACCAGGCCGGGGGAGGACCTGTGCTTCCCGAAATTTGATTTCAGTAATATGAAATCAGAGAGTCTGAGCATGGATGTGGCAAAGGCCCCAACTTCGTCAGGTCCAACCACCCGTCTGGTGCGGGACCCCTGCACGCAGCCCTGTAGACCACGAGGATCAGGAGGTTCACGTCCTCTGTGCCCCCTCGTGTCTCCCTCATGTTCCGGGGGGAGATGCTGGTGGAGTCTTGGCAGGAGCCCTGGAGTCGAACACACTCCAGAGTTTAGGTTTGACTGATGAACCGAAAAATTTTAGGACAGTTCTGAGCCTCTGAGTGTTAGTTTCATCACAGATAAAGGGGGATAATAATGCCTCCTTTCTTGTAAAGATTATTGTGACTATAAATGAAAAACTTACACTAGCATCTGGGGGGTTTCTTGGGTGCTTGTAATGTCCTGTTTCTTGTCTCGGGTAGGAGTTACAATTCATCAAGCTGTACATTCATTTTGTACATATGCTTGATACAATTTATACACACACACACACACACACACACACACGTGTGAATGGTGCACATAGTCGGTGCACCAACATTCAAGATCCTGGCTCGATCTGACCTGCAAAGTCAGGACCCTGGAGATGGAATGGACACCAGCTTGCTGGGGTGGCCTCTCTGAACCCCAGCTCTCTCTCTCCCCCGTCTTGTTCTCAGCATGTCCTGCTGCTGTAGCTGTCTCTGAGTGACAACCTGACATAAGGTCAGAGTTTTCCATTATCTGATGGCAGGGTTGGAGGGAGGGTGAGATTCCTGGACCCCAGTGAGATGAGCTCTGATGTCGGGTGTTAGGTTCCTTCGGGCTCAGCCGGGACAGGGGCTGTCAGAGCTGATGCCAGGCAGGGCATCGCTGGGCCCAGAGATGTTGACTGTGGTACTCTCGGCCTCTCAGTGGCTGGAGGACAGTGGAAGGACCCCTATCCTTCACTCAGCCCATAGCCAAGGTTCCTCCCTGTCTTCCACAGGGTCTTCAGCCTCCATTTGCTCCTAATTCAGCTGAGTAGAATGGTAGATGGTTCCTGGGGATCAGGGTCCCATGTAGTGGGGATAGGTAGGGCAAATGGGGTACTGTCCCCTGTTTGCCCTCCCCTGTTGTTTTATGGCCCTTCCATTCTGATGCCCCCATCCTAACTGGGGGAGCATTAGAACGTCCATTAGCCATTCTTTGGGGAGCAGAGAATAGGGATCTGGGCTTGCCACCAACCCCAGGGTGGCTGGCACCCCCTGTATCCAGAGAAAATGTGAGGATCCAGACAGGGTGAATCAGAAACCCTTAAAGTAGGCATCCCCAACCTCTGGGATCTAATGCCTGAAGATCTGAGGTGGAGCTGATATGAAACTAACAGAAATGAATTGCCCAGTATACATAATGCACTTGACTCTTCCCCAAACCAGCCACCGACACACACACACACACACACACACACACACACATCCAGCATCTGGTAAACCCCTGGCCCACTGTGCATGTCCAGTCAATGTCTCTTTCTTGCCCTCTTTGTGTTTGGGTTGAACTGGAATCTGCTTTTCTGACACATCTGTCCTTAAGCTTGAGTCCTTGCAATAAAACTTTGCAAAACTATTTGAATCCCTCTTTCAAATGAAAGGCATCCATATTTACAACAGTGTATCCAGCCCTCCTCTTCTCCACCTGAGTGGTAATCAGAGTTCCTGTCCATTGACAGGCCTGTGATGGATGTGCCGGGTGTTATCTGCACACCAGGAAATAGCACTGCTGTCTGCATTACATGAGTGAGCTCAAATTCTCTCCATTTCCCCCGCCTCCAATGCCTTCATTTCCCACCTGGCTCCCTGCCTCTGGGCCTTCTTCAGTTGGTCTCCACCCACCTAGGGCTCCGTCCACTCTGGGCTTGCTAGGGGGTCCATGGAACTGCTAAGTTTCTTCTCTCTGGCAAGAAGAATGAATATCTCTCTCAGTGATGTACTGTTAGGGTTTTGCTTATCCATCTTGTTATTCAGTTGCTCAGTCATGTCCAACTCTTTGTGATCCTACGGACTACAGCATGCCAGGCTTCCCTGTCCTTTGCTATCTCCCAGAGTTTGCTCAAACTCATGTCCATTGAGTTGGTGATGCTATCCAACCATCCTTTCCTCTGTTACTCCCTTCTCCTCCTGCCCTCAATCTTTCCCAGGATCAGGTTCTTTTCCAATAAGTTGGCTCTTTGCATCAGGTGGCCAAAGTATTGGAGCTTCAGCATCAGCTCTTCCAGTGAATATTTAGGGTTGATTTCCTTTTAGAATTGACTGGTTTGATCTTGCAGTCCAAGGGACTCTCAAGAGTCTTCTCCAGGACCACAGTTCAAAAGCATCAATTCTGTGATCAGCCTTGTTTATGGTCCACCTCTCACATCCATACAGGACTACTGGGAAAACCATAGTTTTGTCAGCAAATGATGTCTCTGCTTTTTAATACACTGTCTAGGTTTATCAAAGCTTTTTTTTTTTTTCAAGGAGCAAGCATCTTTTAATGTGATGGCTATAAGTCACCATCAGCAGTGATTCTGGAGCCCAAGAAAATAAAATCTGCCTGTTTATCCATCTAGTAAACATTGATTTCCTGGCTACCATGTACCAGGGTGTGTTGATTCCACTGCTTTGCGGGGCCCACACCCAGGCTCATGAGCAAGGCTGGTTGGAACTCAGCATTCTGAGAGGCCACGGCAGCTCCATGGCGTTCCCCAAGCTCTGGACAAGGGAGTGGTGTGGCTGCAGCCACTCTCCAGGTTTCTGGCCCCTGCCTCACTTTCCAGGAACCTCTGCATTGCTGTGGGCAGCATCACGCCAGACTGGGACACTTGTTGAACATTGGGGCTACGGGACTCTCATGCCTGGTCTCTTCCCGTCTTTCCCTCACATCTCTGATTCTCTGAGCCAACCTGTAGGCCCCTCATTCTGTGCTGTGGTTTTAAGCCAGCTCGCCAGCCTGCCACGACCATCTTGAATCTGATGCTGAAGCCCCAGGCCTCACTTGGAAGGAGCAGAGTGTGGAAGGATGGGGACAGCTGGGCTGGAGCAGAGAAAGCAGATGCTCCTAGAAATAAACGGATTTTCCATGTGTGTCCACGTGGGCTTTGTTGGAGGCCAACTATAGGCCCTGGGGACCCCCGTGGGAGATGAGCCGAGGGCTGGAGAGGAAATGGGCCAGAGGCTTTGCGGTCCACACAGCTCCCGCTGAGTTCACGGCTGAGAGGAGGGGGCGGGGGGGCCGGAGGGACAGAGGGTCCAGCAGGGGTCACCGCTTAGTCACTTTGTAAACTGCTCCTTGGAGGCCGGAGAGGAAATGAACAAGGCCTAGGTAGAGAGGAAGAACCACAGAGCAAGGGAGGAAGGGAGGGGAGGCAGAGGCCGAGGTGTGACCCTGAAGACAGAGCTTCTTGGGGCCTGGGATCCCTACTGGCTCTGCCTGGTAACAAGCCATCCTTCCATCTGCTTGTCCACGCTCAGTGGTCCCTTCCTGGGCTGCTGTGTGCAGGACACCCCGTTCTCCTAGCCTCCATTTCCTGATGGATTAACAGTGTGGTTGTCATGCCCACCGGCTGCTTCTCGGGGTTGTTGTAACAGTGTGGTGAAGGAGGAGAGGACTATAAAAAGCATAAAAACCTCTGTACAGAAGGGGGCGTGCGACCAGGGCAGACCTTGGAGTCAGATCAGCGTTCAGATCCTGGCTCCATCATCCACTAGCCAGGCGACAGCAAACAAGTCACTTACTCCAAGTCTCAGTTTTTCCCCTATAAAAAGAGGCTACTCTTAGAAAAACTGTTGGTTTTGTTATGTGTGATAATAGTTTTTTGTTTATATAAGACAATGTTTCTGTTTGTCTTTTAGTGAATACTAAGACATTCAGGGATGAGATGTAATGGTATCTCTAAAATACCTTTGTCAACCTAGAGGGGTTGGATGAGGGATGAGAAGGAGGCTCAAGAGGGAGGTGTTATATGCATGCGTGAGTGCTAAGTCACTTCAGTTGTGTCCAACTCTTTGTGACCCTATGGACTATAGCCCTCCAGGCTCCTCTATCCACGGGATTCTCCAGGCAAAAACACTGGGGTGGGTTGCATGCCCTCCTCCAGGGGATCTTCCTGACCCGGGGATCGAACCCATGTCTCCTGCATCTCCTGCATTGCAGGTTTTTTACCACTGAGCCACCGGGGGAAGCCACAGATATATGTATATATACAGCTGATTCACTTTGTTGTGCAGAAGAAACTAATCCAACTTTGTAAGACACTTATACCCCAATAAAAAAGTAAGTATTAAATACAGCTACTATTAAGAATCCTGGAGAAGGAAACGGCAACCCACCCAGTATTCTTACCTGGAAAATCCCATGGACAAGGGAGCCTGGAGGGCTATAGTCTTTGCAAGCTTGGTGTTGCAAAGAGTCAGACACGACTTAACAACTGAGCATGCTATGAAGAGAGAGAGAAAAAAAAACCTACATGAAAACAAAATCAGTGAAGCATCTTCAGCCAAGTCTTTATTTAGTTCCACATTGCTTCAGGGGTTTTTACAGGGCAGATGCAAAACCTGCTTAATACCAAAGTTGTTGTTTAGTTGCTAAGTCAAAATCTGACTTTCTGTAACCCCATGGACTGTAGCCCACCAGTCTCCTCTGCCCATGGGATTGCCCAAGAGTGAGTTGCCATTTCCTTCTCCAGGGGATCTTCCCAACCCAGGGATAGAACCTGCATCTCCTGCACTGGCAGGCAGATTCTTTACCAT